TTATATTTAGTTAATATATTGGGTGAAAACATATGCATTTCTCTTACTACAGTGAGACTGTACTCTTTATATACTTTATATAAAGTACTCTTTATATACTTTATGTACTCTTTACTTTACTATATACTTTATGTACTCTTATATACTCTTATATACTCTTTATATACTTTATGTACTCTTTATATACTTTATGTACTTACTACAGTGAGACTGTACTACAGTGAGACTACAGTGAGACTACAGTGTACTACAGTGAGACTGTACTCTATATATTTATTTACTATCCTTTTTTTCCTCATGTGTTGTCATGTGTTTAAGTTTTAGTTGTGTTTGTCTTTAGTGTGTGTTTTCCTCATGGGCAATCCTTTTTAACCTGGGTTGTGGAAGTATTTCTTTGGAGTGTTTTTTTTTTTTTTCCCATTTATTTTTTTTTTTTTTTTTATTTATTTATTTTATTGCATTTTAGGTTTTGGGGTACATGTGAAGCTGGAGAGGACGTGGAGAAATAGGAACACTTTTACACTGTTGGCGGGAGTGTAAATTAGTTCAACCATTGTGGAGTGGTTTTACGTTTGCCTTTTCTAAGTCCTCAGGAGCAATGGCACCGTACCTGGCCATTAATAGGGATATATGAAGGGCCAAGTACTGTATTGACCAGAGCGAGTCAATTTGGAAAGCAGCTAAAATTGGAGTCACCTCTGATTAAATTTGTGGCCATCTACTCTCACCCGTTCTTTATGACCCATCTGTACTGGCAAGATGACTGAATTAAATCAAGAATGTAATAGGGATTGCTTAGGCTTCAGTTTTGAATCCTTTGCTAGTGGTGCTAATTTTTGTGATTTCATTATAGATGCTTTACTGCTTTTGATTTTATTTTGCTAGGAAGGGGAAGTTCAGGAGCTTCAATTTGGCTTTTTATCACAATGGACCTTATTTCACAGGTCAGGGAGACAGTGGGGATTCTGGACAACAGCAATTTGGGAAATAACCGGAGGCTGACTTCAGGCTGTCATTATATCTGCTGCTTTTGTGGGGTTAGGAAACTTCGTGGACTTGGAGTGTCTGTGATGCTTTGGGAAATACATGGGTATTCGCCATCTATTTCTTTATCAGTTCTTGAGATCACGTTTTATCACAATCAAGCCTCTAGTTTTCACTTAAGAGACATAGCAAAGCTTGAATTCAACTGAATTTGCAATTTTTAACTGTAGATTCCAACTAAAACTTTGTTTTTTGGCCTTTTCAGCCTGTAGCTACGAGCAATAAAGAATTCTTTTTAATATAGTTATAGAAATTCTCGTTTTCAGTTTTTACCTTGGGTAAAATCATGCCTATAATCCCAGCACTTTGGGAGGCCGAGGCGGGTGGATCACGAGGTCAAGAGATCGAGACCAACCTGGTCAACATGGTGAAACC